TTTTTTTTTTTTCCCCCCTCCCTCCATCTTATAATGAAAATCCCGGTATAGTTTTACTTGTGGTGCAGTATCAGTTTGCTTTGATACTGCCTTTCCGTATTAGAACTGGGATGTATTTATGTTGTGAAGGTATAAAGTTCTTTGATCAAGTATTTGCTCAGATAGTTTCCCCAATAAGGAACTGATTGGGGAAATTGGAACGTACCTGCCTGGGGCGCTGTGGTCTGCAAGATGGGACAGTGTTGAAAAGCATTACCCTGTATCTCTATTCTGTTTTCCCAAACTTTATCGGGGCCTGGTTACAAAACCAGGTCTAATCAGCCTGAGGAAATGAGTTGATGACTTGAAATCAGGTTATGTTAAATAAAAGTGTATAATCTAAAAGTGTGTGTTAAGAGTTTTAAAGGTTTATATGTAACTGACTATTCTGCAAATTGCTGAAATTGTGCTGTTCAGCAGAGCTGTTCACTTTCTCTTGAGAGCAATTTCTTACTAAAACCAGAATTAATACGTATAATTAATACATATTTTGGAAATTTCAGCATGGAAAGAACTTTCTCCTAATCAGTGTGGGAGAAGCAGTAGGAAAATTTGAAGACAAAATACATGTGCTAGCTCTGTTTCTGTAGTATCTAAATCAAGATTGTAGTCTGTCAGTTCAGTGCTTTCACAAGCATTAAATGTATGTAATGCTTTCCTGAAATATTTTTATCATTAATGTCAATTTTTAATGTTATTTTACATATTTTATGTGTATTGTACATAATAATTTGTTTTATAGTAATTAATATTACAGTTGAAGAAAGTATTGCTTTGAAAAAGCCCTTAAAAATGGTTCTTAAAATCTAATCCAGTGCATAATCTTTCCCTCTCCCTTTCCATGTACCCTAAGGATGAATTGCAGAGACTTCTGGATTTGCTGAAGAAGCAAGACCCCTTGCCTGAGGAGCAGCTGCAGAAGCTGTGCATTGAGATGAATGATTTTATTGTTGCACTGTCATCAGTGCAACCCTCTGCCAAGAGAGAAGGCTTTGTCACAATTCCTGATGTGACATGGGCAGATATCGGAGCCCTGGAAGATGTTCGGGAGGAGCTGACTATGGCAATATTGGTATGTCTCAACCTTCCTTTCAAAGACTTTTTTGTGCTTCCCCTATGCAGGAAATAAAACTATGCTTCTTTTGTTTTTTAATATTTATTTAAGGTATAATGTGCTGCCCATGAGTTCTAACATGCTACAAAGAAGAAATTTTGCAACATCTTCATTTAAAATAGTGATACTTCTGTAATTTGCTTTCAAATTTGTTACAAGTCTGGTGCATGTATTCAACATTTCACTTATTGTATTCATGCCTTCAGTGTTCAGTATGTTCATTATTGCTGAATCTTAAGTATTCTAAAAGCTTTGTACCAATGACCTTAGTTACACAACTGCCACACAAAGAATTGGAGACTACTTAGCTGGAAGGTTAGCAGTCTTGCTGCCAGTCAGAGGGATACTTAACACTAGCACCTTAAGATGAGAACTAGGTAAATAAAATCTTTGCCTCTGAATAATGATTCTCCAGTTTTGGGGTACTTATCAGTGCAAGATAATAAGATGCTGATCCACTGTTTATTCTTTTAGCCTATAAAGAATTGGAATAAAGAACTTGCTTATGAATGATTTTTCATCCAACTGTAACTGAAATGAAAAGTTTCATGTTAGCTTTTTGTCACAGATAATTATGATAATTTATTTTATAGGCACCTGTGCGAAACCCAGAGCAGTTTAAAGCTCTGGGCCTGACTACTCCAGCTGGTGTGCTGCTTGCAGGGCCTCCTGGGTGTGGCAAAACACTGTTAGCTAAGGTAACACGTTTTCTAAACATGTTTAGAAATACTGGAGAATCTTCTTGAAGTGGATGTTTTTGTAGGAATGACTGAGTCTGGGTGGTACTGCCAGAAGTTGGGCTTCTGCACCACTTCTCATCAGAAAATTAAATTTGGGCCTCTGTGCTAAAGTTATTTGATTTTCTTGTCATGAAGTTACGATTTGGCTTGAATTGAGAGGGAATTACTGCAAAACTTGAAAGAATGAAGTTGGTTATGAAGAAAACAGCAAAGATGGGAAGAAACTCTATTAGATAACCACTTCTATGGAATATTTCACTGTAACTAAATTATATATTTGGAAGTAATCTATCCTCTATTATATTTATGTATTTTTATTTGTTATATTTACCTTACTGAAAATACTTTTATTTTTCTTCTCCTCGAGCATTTCAGTTCTTATGGCCTCCCCATGTAAATGCAGATAATCATGCAAGTTTCCAGACTGTCACTCATCTTTTGTCTTCAAATGCTCTTATGTAGTTGAATATCTCTTCTTAACTCCCGCTAATTATTGAGAATTCTTCAGCTAATATGCGGGAAGGGGGTGGGGTGTGAATCTGGAACACTGCCTTATTAAAGAGAGAGAACACCTTGCTAAATTCCCCCTCCCACTCTTAATTGCGTGTAATTATACTTTGTACTGTTTTCTGTATTTTACAAACTGTTGATAACTATGCTCCTTCCCTTAAGTTTGTTTATTGCTCCATGGACAGAACCAAAGAAAACATGAAAAATGTGTGGCTTATATATACGTCTGTCTTTCCCTTTTTGATAGGCCGTGGCAAATGAGTCCGGACTGAACTTCATATCTGTGAAAGGTCCTGAACTGCTAAATATGGTATGCACTAATCATTGTGCTTTTGTTATTTATGGAATTCTTGTCCAAAGCATGGGGCAAGCAAAATTCCTGATAATTACACAACTGATACTGGTGCAACTGAAGTTGCCTCATTTAACCTCTGCTTAAAGTTTTAGCAGTGAGGTGGTTCATGTGAAAACAAAAAAGAACTATCTGGCTAGTTTAAGTATGTCTTGGTTTAAATTACCTGGCAGATGGAGCCTTCTTGACTGAAGTAGGATTTCTAAATGACCAACTAGATGCATCATTGCTTTTTTGTAGATCAGGAAAAAGAACAAAAATTCAGATCTACAGTGAGAACAATTGCTGATCAGTAACTGCAAATCAGAAGCTTCTACTAAGCAGAATAAAACTTTCAACTTTCAAGTTCAGAAATGTGTTTTGCTAGTCATTTTAGCTTCTTAATGGAAGTTTGAAACCTTGGAAAGCAATGTGGGTTTTTTTAAGTTGATCAAAGTGATTTTTTTTTTTTTTTTAAAGATTTTAAATGTTAACAGATAAAAGTTCTGTAGTCTGAGTTTTTGAAGCACTGGACTTCGAAGTGTTGTGATTATAACTTTAGTTGTGATATAACTGTGATATAACTTTTAGAGTTAGGAGAATGTGTTGAACTGAGCAAGGTGGCTGCAGCCCACATCTCAGAAGACCACGGCAGTAACCTGTTTATCAATAACGTGGAAGCTAAAACCAAAATACTGGATTTGATTATTCTTTTTCCAAACTTTTTTTTATGGGTACTTCAAGTACTGATACAGCCAGGAAGTATAATACAAGTTAATGAGGAGTCCTACTTCCTTGTGGAATAAAGAGAAAATGTCTGGCTGTGATTCAGAGATTGTGTTAAGACATAAATTGTATCAAAACACGTTTGGAAAAAATGAAGTGTTTGCATTTACAACTTGGCAGCCCCGGCCCCTGCAATTTGCCATTCAAAGTGAAATTCTGGCTTACTTTTCACTTCCCTACTGCCACCCCCCCATATTCAGGCAACTACTATATGAACTTCAGATGTTCATTGTGTTCGCATTGCTCACTGGGTTTGTTTATGAACAGCTGAAGAACAACAAGGTCCTTAATGAAGATTGTATTTGTTAATTCTCATCAGCAGGATGATGGCAAGTTAGATTTATTCCCCAGAAAGTAGGAATTCTATTAAACTCTGAATGTACTGCAAACCGTCAAATGTGAGCTAGTGACAACTAGTTCCTATATAAATCTTCATCACTAAGGAAATAGAGATAACGACTGCTATCAGAAGTAAACTGGTTAGCAGGTTGCACTTCCCCCTTGCAAAGCACCTCAAATAGTGTTTAAAACTGATTTTTTTTTTTTTTCCCAAGCAAAATCATCATGTCTTACATTGTTTTGCTGTGATTTGTCATTTGTTTTAGTATGTTGGTGAAAGTGAACGTGCTGTACGTCAGGTATTCCAGCGTGCCAGGAATTCAGCCCCTTGTGTTATATTTTTTGATGAAGTTGATGCTTTGTGCCCTCGGAGATCTGACCGTGAAGTGAGTCCCTCTTAAAATATCTCCATAAATAAATTATCTCAGTTGCAGCTTTTGTGGCATTGTGCTAGCAACACTAGTACCTGGAAGGGTGCTATATTCAGTATCTCCCAAGAAAAACAACCCGATAGGCTTTCTCACTTTTGAGGAAAAATATGTTGGTCAAATTTTATAAAGCTTAATGCTTTTTTTTTTTAGTATCTATGTATATATGGAAAATAAAATCCAGAGAATATGTGTATATCCACCAACTTGGCTGTGTAGAGCCGTAGGAAAAGATGGAGTGCAGTTTAATATCGTGTTTAATTTATGGCCAAATCATGATACCTGCATGCAGCTATAATGCTCACATGAAGTATGTATTGATTTGAACAGTGTGAACTGGGTCATGGAAATATTTGAGGCGGGAGCGTAAGTGGAATGCATTAGACTTCAGAGCTGTTCCACCCATGAAGTTTTCTCTGTCTTGATTTTTTTGTTTTGGAATAAGAACTACCTACACCTAGAATTGACTTCTGCTTTTGGGGGGGTTATTTTCCTAGCACAAACTGTTAGTGTGTTGGAAGGAAAGCTGCTCTGTTTTTTATGCAGAGGAAGTGCATCTGTCTTATGATACTGTACTGGTGCATGTATGTTGATGGCTGAAAGAAAAGATGCTTTCTTTCAACAGACAAGTTGAGCACAGCGCTGTTCAGATATTGCCATCAGTGACTTTCACAGAAAGACTGTAGTTCCAGTCTGTAAGAGAGAGGAAGTTTCATCAACTGTTTTTGAATTGTACCTTGTCTTCTGAATTTGCATACTTCACTTCCTATGAAAGATAGCTAAGCTGAAAAGTTCAGACTTGACTTCTTGAATGTCCTGAGGTGGTGGTTCCCACAGAGCTGTAAAAGAAGGTGTCCAGTACTAGGTACCACAGTAGGTGTAGATTGGTAGCCAAGGAGGGGGAGCAAGTGTGCTTTGGCCTCACTATATTTCACTTCTGTGGTGGCAGCAGCAGGCAGCAACTTGGTGCCTAGAAGCCCACTCCTGCTCTTCACAGCCTCCTTTAACCATGTAGAGGTACTGTCTGGGCAGGAGACTGGTGACTGACTCAGGCTGTAATACTGGTGACAATCCTTGGGATTCATAATTGAAACTCAGGTCTCGAAAAGCCAATGGAAACACCAAATACCCCATGTGCATTTTCAGCACATACAAAAATATAAATCCACCTACAGATAATTAGAGTATGTTTAAAATAAAACAGTAACACTTAGAACAACGTTCTTGAAAATCATCAAGCGGTTTTACTGCATAACTGAACCCTTGTTCTCCAGCTCCTGTGCGCGTGCGCTCTCTCTGCCCCCCCCCAACTCTAGAACGAAATTCAGATTAAGCTATTGAGTTTGGTTATAGGATGTCAGTACTATGGAGTTAACGTTTAACTATGAGTAGCTCAGCTGCTGAAAGTATTGTTTCAGAGGTTTAAATATTTGGAGAACTCCCTCCCCCAAGCCTGAATATTGAGAAGTTTTGGGTGTTGTTGTTGAGATAGATATTTATACTAATCATTCTCCCATCTATATGTACTACTTTAAGTGAGTCCCCATCTTTAATGGGAAAGAAAAGGTTTGCCACATGCTAAAATGTGTGGTGGGTGTATAGGTAGCATGAATTTGGGGTGGAAACAAGCTAAGATTATGATAGTAGAAATTCAGAATGCAGCTACATTAAAAGTGTGAAAAAGAAACTTTTTCTTTGAATAGTATTTCAGGGCAGGGAGCTAGTAGATCTCTTGTTTCTTTTACTTTGAAATATTCACATTCCCACTGTTTCCTCAATTTTGTTGACAAATTTCTCCTTTTAAAGTCAGGAGCCAGTGTCCGAGTAGTTAACCAGTTGCTCACAGAGATGGATGGTCTGGAGAATCGTCGTCAGGTTTTCATTATGGCTGCCACAAACAGGCCAGGTAAGGACCCAAAAATAATAAACTAGAGAAATCAAGCGTCATTGGTCTCTTCTAATGATATCATGCGTTCTTACATGTTTGAATTCTATAGCTAAACTTGTTCTGTACTTAAAATTACAATGTCTCCTCAAATCCAAACCTTTTCTTATCAATTAGTCTGTTCCACATTCCTGTGACAGTGTGAGATGAAGCAATATCTTTAAAATGTGTCTTAATTAGCACCTGATGCCATTGCTGTAAAATGCTTTGAAAGACCTTTGACTTAATTGGACTTTGGATTATCTCCTTGGAACATAAAAGAACAAAAGAGAACTAAAACATAAATTGTATATTTTTTGCTGCTTGCATTGGTTTTCTATTCAAAGCAACCTTACAGTTTTCTGCTATTTTTAATTCTTTTTCCCTTGACACATCTGTGTCATGTTAAATCATTTTTCCGTTTGCTTATCTCTTACTTCCTGGGCTTCATGTTCCAAACTTGGTTCCCTCAGCCTGAACTTACTGTGCTGTTCCCTCATGTTCTGTCAAGCTTTGATATTGACTACTGTCTGTGCTCCCGTGCTGGCCCTTCAATTTTTGGTAGCCTTTGCGATTCCTGCAGCATCTTCTTATTAAATAAGCTAAACACGGTCATCTGCTTTACAAACATCATGTGTTTTACAACCAAATTTCTGCCCTTTTTTTTTTTTTGTATTATGGAGAAGTATTGTGTTTTATACATAGCAAGAAACTTGTCTCTTCCTGAATTTGAACTCCATCTAGATGCTGAGAGTTAGAAGTAAAGTAATTTGCTGTCAGTATAGAAAAAAACATAGGCATGAAGATGTTGCACTTCCTGGGTTATGAACATTTTTCTGAATATTGCAACTGAAATTAAATACAAGGTTACTAGTCTATCTTGGTAAAACCATACTGGTGTAGGTACTAGAATCTTGGAAAGAACCTTTGCGCCCAGAGCACATATTTGGCAAATTACTGGTAATGACAAGACACAGTTAGTTGTTTCATACATATATGTGTGTATTAAGTCAGGACAAGATGTAGAATTGTGATGAGAAATGGCTCAACAGGGAAAAATAGTAGCATAGCTACTTTTGGATATAAATTGGAAGATGAGAAAGTTAAAATGTTTGACAGATTGCTTGGGTCCTATAGATTAAGGAAAACTTGGTCTGAAATCACCTAAAATAACCAACTATGAGGTGGTTTTGGTTTTTTCCAATGGTCAAAAAAATTCAAAGATTTTGAGGAAAATTTTCCTGCCTCTTGAATTCTTTGCACCATGACCATTGCATCAAGCCTTCTATATGGTGAAGTATGAGCAGTAGATGCTTAAATCTATATCTGCTTGTAGAAATTCTTTGATTTAAAGTGGTAACTTTTCCTGAGGTGAGCTGGATGATTCTGACCTGTCTAATCCAATATAGAAAAGAGAATAAGGTTATACAATGTAGCACATCTATATATAGGTACTGGATGTACCAAGGGTGTTAGTACTAGTGTCATCATGTTGCCTTAGGAAAGAGATCTCTCACTAAATTAGTTACGCTAGTGCAAGTATTTGTAACAAGCAGCCTTATTTGTTAGTGTTTCTCAAGGGCTTCATCTCTAATTGCTGATGACAGTAAACTCATTATCTCTGGTAGCTTGGGCTGTGAATTCCAACACTTTTGAAGTTGAGGAAACATCCAACTCGACTTCCTGCAGTGCCACCCCAGCTCTACCACAGGTATACGTGGGGCAAATACTTTTAGGGCCAGTGTGTGTACGTGGCACTGGTCTGAGCTAATGACTCCTCTCGTAGAGGCAGCTGAGTGCAAGTAGTTTAGTAGCTTTACAAGGGCCAGTTTAGAGTCAATGTTGCTCAGATGTTAATTTCGAGATATGAATACTTGTGTGTGGTAGGTTTGTCCTAATTCCCGGTTTTGCTAGGTTTAGACTTACACTGATTCAGTACTTGCTCATGGGTCTCATTTTCATGCATATATGAAATAGACATCTGTGCAATTGTTAATCCATCCCTTTATAAGCCTTATACTGGATGCAGTTTTACCATAATGTTGGTATAAAGTACCTCTGTAATGGTTTGGGGATTTATTTATTTTTTTTCAGTTTTAAAAACTCACTGTTGCCTTGTTCAGCTGCAGTGGTAGATGTACTGTTTTACTATACCAGAATAGTTAAAATTACAAAACTTTCCTGAGTAACGAGGGTTGAACTAATATTTGAGGGAAGCTGGGAAATTTGTAAGGCATGAACTCAGTGGTGTATTACTAGCTAATGACACTGATGAAAAAAGTGAATTTGATGTAAAAATGCCAAACATGAAGAAAATGCAAAGGCAGGGATAACAAATATAATAATCAAATTGAAGGGTATAAATGTATCTGCAAATTCTGTAAATGGAAATGAATTGTATCTTGATAAAGGAGTTGTTTTGCCAACAAGATAAAATATTTTTTTCTGAATGGCAAAGCTTGGCACATCCAACTTTTGCTAGAGGAGGCAATTACCTGTGCAGTTTGGGTAGGATGGATCTCCTGCTTCAGAAGGATATCAGCTGTGTGTATGAATAACACTTTGGATAGGTTTAGACTGCAAACTTTTGCTGTGATATCTGCATTTGTCAGTGTGAAGAAATCTATCGTTTCCAATTGATGCAGCTTTTATCAGAACAACTTTTACTGAAGTTGTGGTTAAATTGGGGAAACTGATTTCTCTCTTGTGTAGTTTATTCACTGTTTATGGGGCTTAGGAAGAGGTGCAGTGTTCACCAAATTAAATTTTGCTAGTATGGTCTGAGTACTTAATAGGAACACACTGCAGGTAGAGAGCAGTGAAGTCTATGCTAGTAAAGCACACTTACCACCCGAAGAATGAAATGTCCAAGCAGAGACTTGTAGGAGAACCATAGCTTATACTGGCTAGTATATTTAAATGATTCCCGCAAACAATAAAAGTTGTGGTGCCTGAAAAGGTCTTTTGCTTATAAGTCTGACATTTGTATGAAAGATTTTTCTGTCATAGTTACGTTGAATAGGGATGCTGGGGCGTTGTGTAATATAAATCTAAATAATATGTGTGTCCCAGCTGAACTTCTTGAAATCTTCCACTGGGCCAGTATTGTGAAGTGTGAGATCTCATCTTTTTTTAATCCATGTCAGTATAATTTAATAGGAGACAAAATGGTTTTTCAAGATGCTTCTTTTTTAGAGTGGTTGCGTGCATGGTAGCTTTTATAGTTGGTTGCTGTTACTGTTCATACTGTTAGGGTATGTTGTCAGCATTGTAGTCTCTGTCGTGGTTTAATCTCAGTCGGCAACTGAGCACCATGCAGCCGCTCGCTCACTCCCCCCCAGTGGGATGGGGGAGAGAATCAGAAGGGTAAAAGTGAGAAAAACTCGTGGGTTGAGATAAAGACAGTTTAATAGGGAAAGCAAAAGCCACGCATGCAAGCAAAGCAAAACAAGGAATTCATTCACTACTTCCCATGGGCAGGCAGGTGTTCAGCCATC